GGATCCACTTATGGGAAGTAAGTTCACTCCTACTACGAAAACTCTTTCCACACTCCATGCACATAAATGGCTTTTCCCCTGTGTGGATCCACTTATGGGAAGTAAGTTCACTCCTACTACGAAAGCTCTTTCCACACTCCAGGCACTTATATGGCTTCTCCCCTGTGTGGATCCTTTTATGGGAAGAAAGTTTACCGTTGTGAGTAAAACTCTTTCCACACTCCATGCACATAAATGGCTTTTCCCCTGTGTGGATCCACTTATGGGAAGTAAGTTCACTCCTACTACGAAAGCTCTTTCCACACTCCAGGCACTTATATGGCTTCTCCCCTGTGTGGATCCTTTTATGGGAAGAAAGTTTACCGTTGTGAGTAAAACTCTTTCCACACTCCATGCACATAAATGGCTTTTCCCCTGTGTGGATCCACTTATGGGAAGTAAGTTCACTCCTACTACGAAAGCTCTTTCCACACTCTGTACACTTATATGGCTTGTCCCCTGTGTGGATCCATTTATGGGCAATAAGGTATCTGCTTATTCTGAAGCTCTTTCCACACTCCATGCATTTATATGGCTTCTCCCCTGTGTGGATCCTGTTATGGGAAGTTAGTTCACTCCTACTACAAAAGCTCTTTTCACACTCCATGCATTTATATGGCTTCTCCCCTGTGTGGATCCTGTTATGGGAAGTAAGTTCACCCCTACTACGAAAGCTCTTTTCACACTCCATGCATTTATATGGTTTCTCCCCTGTGTGGATCCATTTATGACTCATAAGGGATACATTTTGAGAGAAGCTCTTTCCACACTCCAGGCACTTATATGGCTTCTCCCCTGTGTGGATCCTTTTATGACTCATAAGGGATGTATTTTGAGAGAATCTCTTTCCACACTCAATGCATTTATATGGTTTTTCCCCTGTGTGGATCCTTTTATGGGAAGTAAGTCCACTCCTACTACGAAAGGTCTTTCCACACTCCATGCACTTATATGGCTTCTCCCCTGTGTGGATCCTCTTATGGGAAGTAAGTTCACTCCTACTACGAAAGCTCTTTTCACACTCAATGCACTTATATGGTTTCTCCCCTGTGTGGATTCTTTTGTGACTCATAAGGGATACATTTTGAGAGAAGCTCTTTCCACACTCCAGGCACTTATATGGCTTCTCCCCTGTGTGGATCCTTTTATTAGTCATAAGGGATGTATTTTGTGAGAAGCTCTTTCCACACTCCATGCACTTATATGGCTTCTCCCCTGTGTGGATCCTTTTATGACTCATAAGGGATGTATTTTGAGAGAAGCTCTTTCCACACTCCATGCACTTATATGGTTTTTCCCCTGTGTGGATCCTTTTATGGGAAGTAAGTCCACTCCTACTACGAAAGCTCTTTCCACACTCCGCGCATGCATGTGGTTTCTCCCCTGTCTGGATCCTTTCATGTGAAGTAACTTGACGGCTTGTTCCGAAAGTCTTTCCGGATTCCAAACATTTATATAGTTTTCCCCCTGCGTGGATCCTTTCATGTGAAGTAACTTGACGGCTTGTTCCGAAAGTCTTTCCGGATTCCAAACATTTATATAGTTTTCCCCCTGCGTGGATCC